GAAGAAAATGAGAGAGAGAATGCTCCTCAGGGTAAATTTTGGCTCTGGCTGCAAACCAGATTCAACAGATACTCAAAGCAACCCAATCCAGGAGAGAGTATGGTTTACTGACAACAAAGGAGTAGCATTACCTGAGAGATGGAGCAAGAGAGGGATTGATGGAGGAGATGCTGAAGGCACACTGCCATGTATTTGACTTATTGATTATGTGTGAAATCTCATCCAGCCAGCGAGGCTGGAAGAGGTGTAGTGTTGGTTATTTATAGCAATCTCTTTCCTCCATGCTGTGGTTTGGGAATTTTTGATCAATGCTATGTCCAGGGGGCTTTTTCCTCACGCCAACACAATGCAGCTCCGTAAAGAAGAACAACTGCATATTAGAAATTTATGAAGAAGAAAGCTTGAAGCAACCCTGTCTGTTTTCTCAGTGCGCTGCCGTTTCGATTTAGGTCAACAAGCATGGAGCACAACGCCGCAGTGGTTAACTGGCCGACATACACCCACACACTGTGTAGGGAAAATGTCACAGGTTTGAATCCAGATCGTGACATTTGTTGAATGTCACTCCACAATTCAATTTTTTTTTCAAGCTCTATGGTTTCATGTTCTTTAGTAAAACACAAATACCATTAACATTCCAATATGGAGGTGATCTGAAGCCTTTGGTTCACCGTCCAATCAGGCGAGGGACAATAGTCCAATGTAGTCCAACTGTTGATAAACATCCCTCACAGTTGGTGTATCACTTTGATGAAGTTCATTTTAATTAACTCCAAGAAGACACTAAATCAATTTTACAACAGACAATAAGATAAATCTATCTCTTACTGCAGCAGCATAATCTCGCTAAACAATTTGAAAATCCAACCTGTGTGCTCAGGCTGTATTTATAGAGAGGAGGGGGAAAAAACTCAAGTTCGAGGAGATAAAGCTATTGACACATCCGCAGTTAATTCTTTGCACACAGTCATGTTTGGTCTTCTTGTGGAGCACACAGAGAGAGGGATCTTTGACCCCCTTTTGCACAACTTCAAAGATCATCTTGGGTCAAGTGTTCTCTCTTAGCATTCTATGATGTCTATCCAGCTGGCCACAGTTTTCTACAGGGTTTAAATCTGGTGGCTGTGGAAGAAGTTTGATTTTGTGACCGCTGAACCATTCTATGGGGAAATGTTTTGGATCATTATCCTATTAAATTAACAAATGATTAGCTAGCTCAGTTTTAGGTGGTTTTGTGCTGATAATGCATATCTATTTTGTATGAAAATGCAAGGTGTAGTTTAAGCAAAAGATACAAGTTTGTTTTATTAAATAAAAGTCAATCAAGGCACCCATCAGCACTCGATTCTAGCAATACGTCTAACAGTTTTAACCATAAAAAAAAATCCTTTTTAGCATATTCTAGTGGAGGCACCTAGGGTACCATTTAAAGGTTGAACTCATATATTCAATAAAATCGAAGTAGGTAATATTTTGTATAATCACCAAAGTGGATGCTTCCACTCACTTAGCATCCTTAGCCTGGTCAAGCTCCTCACCTAGCAACTGAAGCGAAACCCTGCCCACTGCATAATAAGGAGCACGTTTCAATTGCTGGTATTATCGCTATATGAGCTGTACAATGGACGATGGGAAAGGTGAAGATTTTGTTGTTAAGCAAATGACTTGGACCAAAGGAGAGTTCAGTCCAGCTATTGGTTGCAAATCTAAAGATGATGGAGATGCGAGTCCTTATTGTGTGTTTTGTATTGCAATATGACCTTTTCTTAATCATTACACTTTAACGCTAACAATAGGCTACTTCCCAAAATGTTTTATATCTAAGAGCTGTTTACTAAAAACATCATAATAAAAAACTCAATGTCCATTCTTCTTTCTCACAGTTCCAACTGTTTAAAGTTTTTTTTTTTAATCATTACTGTGACTCAGGATAGGAGGTTTTAATAAACATCCTTGTTTCCACAGTGCAGGCACCTATTTGCCTCCCAAAGCTGACTGCTCTTGTCTTCACAACTGATGAGTGATTAACTGGAACGGGCTTTACTCTCACCAGGGCTTTTACAAAACATTTTAGGGTGGAAAAGGGAGGCTTTTTGTCATCTCTATGTGTTTTGTCTGTGTAATGAGACTATGATGGGTTTCACCCCTCTGTCACGCCAAGCACAGGTCTGCATCGGGTGACTTCTGTTTGGAAAAGCTGGCTTTGTGCATCAAAAGAAAGGAAAGAATTAAAAGAAAAGGTAAAGAAAGAGTTAAAATTTGTTTTGCTGATGCTGAACCTCCATGACACCTCCTGTCCTCCCAGATTGTTAATCTTAAGGGTTTCGATCAACTCAAAAGGAACAAATCAAGTAGTGCTTTAGTTATACTTAAATTGTAGGACCTGATAGTTGCATCCATTACCTTGTTACTGGTGATTTTTTTTTTGTTGTTGTTTTTTTTTGTTTTTTAAGGCACTAATGCCTCTTTTTTTTTTGTATAGTAGGATGACAGAAAAGGGGTACAAGAGATGGGGAGAGAGATGTGCGGCAAAGGACCTCAGGTCAGATTTGATCCTGGGTCACCCACATCAAGGACCAAGGCCTCAAAACATAGGTTGCGAGCACCAACCATTGCACCACAGAAGCACACCTGTTACTGGTGGGTTTTTTTAAAAGTATGATCTTTCTCAACGTGGATTTGTTTGAATAAATTAAATAAAAATAATTTTTTCAGAGAGATATAGCTTCTGCAATAAGGAATTTACATATTTGCTGCCTTTTCTTGTAAAAATTTAAAAAGGGTGTCAATGAATATTAAGACCTTCCTATTTGCCTTTAGCAACCCTTCAGGTATATTTCTTTAACTTCAGGTCAACCATATGCCATGCGCATCAACAGACCACAAAGTTATGTCAAATGAATGCCATCTTTTTTTCCAACCTTTTTGTGAATGTGTCTTGCTTTGTAAAAACTAGTGAAAATTAAATCAAATGTAACAAAGGTGGATTCGGGGCTCTGCAGCAAGCAAAAGGAATTCATTTTCAACCAGCGAGAAGGAGGATGAGCAAATTTCAGTCTCACTGCACAGTGAGGAGAGGTCCAATTATCTGTAATAAGTGAAAATACACGGATGTGAACAACATCACGCCATGCCTGGCTGTGCAGGGATCAGAGGGAATGTACTGAATCTGAGTTATGATGCAGCCCCACTCTTCAAGACGTCTTGTAGCCATTTGAAGGCTCAACAGGAGAGTGTTTATTTGCTTTCAACTGATGCTTGTGAGAGCTGCTCAATTAATGTTCTGACAGGAGTACACACTCCTAGTCATTGCTGGCTCAGATGCGTTTATCCTCCATTCTGTTTTCATATTTCCCATGAACCCTTTCAAAGCTCAAATTTTAATTGCCTTAATTTCTTAAAATCAATTATGTAGCTTTTGCAGTTTTTAGCACTGTGTTTACCGGTTTCTGCTTAAAATAATTTATCAACTTAAGGGTTTCATCATTTTGTTAGAATGTTTTAAAGCTTTTTTTTTTCATTTTCTACTTATGTAACAAATTCCTTCTCTACTAAGCTTAAAGATAAGTTTAAAAAGGATTAACAAGGGAAGTTGTAATGTCATAAGCCATGATATTAATTTTGGACATTTGAACATTGATAGATAATTGATAGACTGTCAAAGCTAATGTGCCTGTTGTTAATTTCAGAACCAGACTGCAAAACAGACGTTCTGTAATATTTTTCTCTGAGATTACAGTAAACTGTACGATGCCAGAGATTGTAGACTTTCACCTGAGAGAAAAGGAAATTAGCTCCCCTGCTGATGACCTGACATGCTAACAGCTTTCCTGACCTTTAGCTCACGTTTGCAAAACAGATCAACAGAGGTTACAGCTCTGGCAAAGTTAGGGAAAGCCTTAAAACAATTAGTGTTTTTAAAGATTTTTTTTGTCATTTTATTGGTTTACTTTTATGTAAAGCAAACTAACAATCAGCTAAATGTGACCACATGGCAACCCGTGTTGACATGCATTGAGCTGCTGTTCATAAAGCTAAAACAAACTATTTCATTAAGGGTTTAAACACTAATATAACAATAATTTAAATGTGTTTCATCATATGCTCATTACATTTGATTGCAAAAATATGAAAAAAGAATTATTTTTATATGATTTGTTAGCTGATAGCTCCAATTTTTCATAAGGCACAGTTAAATAATATAAAAGATTTCAAACTCCTAATTATTCCGTTGGAAAGAAACACAAAATTATTGATCAATTAGGAAAACATTTATTGATTTCTGATTAGGCAAAATATTTAATAAATACTTTTCATTCACCTTATAGATCTGCATTTTAATTTGGTTAAAACATATTCCAATTGCTGAAAAAACAGTTGAAAGCTAATTTGACCTCATACTAAACTTTTCACCATAAATTCTGATTCTCAAACATAACATCCATGTTAAACTGATTCCATTATTTTATTGATTTTTTTTAAAAACAATTTTCATTCCCTTTTCTTTGTGCGCATAGTAACTAAGTTTAGTTTTAATTATTGTTTAACTGAAATATGTTTGACTTGGAGATTTTTTTTTTGTTCACAAATTGTAATACTTTAAATGAATAAAAGCTGTTGTGAATTTATTCCATATTTGTGCAGCATTAAAATGTTTGGCTGTGATTTAAGCTGAATTCATCCTTTTATTTGTTGTCCTATTTCAGAACAACATCTGGCAGTCAAAAAGTTATTTGATTTAATAACATATTTTCCATCTCCACTGGAGTGGACATTAAATTCAAGTTATTTTATAACATATTATGATATTCCTGAACTATCATTGAATATAACAAAATATTTAATCACTAACAAGTTTAGAAATGACTGGACTCAAAGTGAATGAAAATGTCATAACACTCTCCAACACTGCTTGTTTAATAAATGCATCGATCGCATTCTAGATATTCAAACATAATTCAAAAAGTACTTGAAGGTTAAAATGAAATATTGTTTCTTACCCAGGCCTAGCAGGTCCACAGCCGGCTCGGGGCTTTTCTTTGGGCTGGATTTGCAATCTGGCTGCAGGGGCAGAAAAAAACAAAAACAAATCAGCATAAGAATTTCTAATAACACAATATCAATTATAATTGGGGTGATACTCCACTTGCATTGACAAGCCCTGCATTCTAAAAACACTAATGAAGAAGGGTTAAAGCAATTGATTTAAAAAATCTTCACAGTTTACAGATGTGCCTGGAATCCGAAGCTTTATTGGTACCGGCTCTATTTGCTTCACTTCAGTCCATCTTAACTCTTTTTTTCTGTTACAGCTGAGCAGCACAGCAGCCTTGACAGGGTAGCAATAGCAAGAAGGCCCAGCTGTCCCTACATGACACCAACACAACAACAACAATGGAGGACCTTCTGCATTGCAGATAAGAGAGATGACTGTGGGCTTTGAGGCGAAGCAATTTGTTTAGGTACAGGAGAGCGGGAAGCTACCGAGTGTATCAGACTCAAGGACAGAGGTTAAAAGAGTAAGCCAACACTAACTATTGGTTGTTTGCTGTTGTGGTTATATGATTAAATGACTAAAGAATGCATCTAAACAAGCATGAAAGCAGTAAATGCTGCACATAATCACTAATATTGGAAAAAGAGCATAAGATCAATGCCATTTTGGTCAAGTATAGGTGACTGTAAAAGCAGTTCCCCGCAAGCCTTAGCCCCTGTAGGACTAAATGGCTAAAGCACATTTAGTCTGACATTCGAAGGTCTGATCAAGATGCTATCTATAAAAAACAACACCAGGTTAGAACAAGAGGAAATACATCATAACAAACTCCAAGGCAATAGGAAGAAAACACAAACATTCACGTGTCTTTCTTTTTATACATTGTTTTTATGAATGGTGTTTCTAAATAGAATGGCCTGTTTGCTCCTCAACATGCGTGGGATATCCTTGTAAAAGGGACAAACAATAGATTTATATCTTGATGTTTTTATTTTTACTAAATAATAAATAGACAAAGGCTTTTGGGAAAATAAAGTTAGTTTTGCCATCATCTGCTTTCCCAAACCTGCTATTAGCCTATTAGCCTACAACTACATATCAGTCTTTAATCTTTACAAACTCTCAAACATTTTAAAATTAAAACTGTTTTTTGCTGAATATCAGGATCTCTGGAGCAAATTGTAACAAGAACAAGGCTTTCTGCAAATTCCCCATTCATCTTAAGTAAAAATCCCTATTATTTTCTTCTAAATTCATCATAATTTAAGCTGAAAATTTAATTTTTGTTGGAGTTCATAAGCCTTATAGACAAAAACACAGAAAACTAAAGGGAGCCTAAACAAAAGGGTGACTGAAAGACGCTGCTAACAGAGTTAAGGAAAAACATAGAAAAGATGAAGAGAAATAGCAGTTGAAAAAGGAGGATATAAGAAGGTTAACACAGGGTCCATAAGGGATATACGACACTGGTACCAAACACAATTTCCCTCTGAAGAAAAAGATCAATGGACTACATTAGCTTGAATGTTGTTTCCATCCAAGGTAATGAAAACAATTACCGTTTCTATGCTTAATCAAAAACGCAGAGGCTTTGAATTTGATATGTTGGAGCTGCAGCACGGCTTCAACAATGCGAACTACAGCAGGGAGGTCATTCCTGTTTAGCAAGACATTTTTGCTTTGTGCTGTGCTCACAGAAAACCATAAAGCAACTTTAGAAAAAAAAAAAAAACGTAAATAAAAAGTTGAATCTCGTAGCAAAAGGGAGGCGTGGGGTGTTTGAAAGAGTTACACAGGTGAAAATGTAGAAATAGTCCTTATTTTAAAGTTTCTATGGATACAAATGCTTCCAAATAAATTTATATATTTTAATATTTTACAGCCTAAGCATGTTGCATAAGAACATTTCAGCTGTTTTTTTTTTATTCCGTGAAATGTCAATAAAAGTGAATCCCTGGCCCTAAATGTGGTTACAAATATGAGAATTGCCCCTCTTACATGAGAGAAAGGTCTATATACTCAGAGTCGACATTAGCATTACAGCTGGAAATTACAGTATGAAAAGCTGATCAAATTTGGCAAAACTGAGGGCTGGTAAAAACACAGGCTTTTTGTATGCCTGTCAATTTGATTCAGAGTTTATATAAATTGACATAAGACAGTCTTTCAGTGCTACAGCCCACACAGCCACTGTGAAAGAGAGAAAATTAATTTGAGTAAATCCTGAATGACGTGTTTGTCAAAGAGCTTGCATGCTGCGTTGTTAAAATAAACAAATAAATAAATATGCTGGGTGACATTTAAAATCAGGGAAAACCAACTGCATGCTTGGAGGGTCTGCATTATTTAGCCAGTCCTAAAAGAACAACTGATAATCATTTTCTATAAAACTATTGTCAGGTTGTTTGAACAAAGAGGTTTGTGTTAATAGAAAACTGGTGGATGCTATCCAGTATCAAAGATACTAATTATTGTAGGAAGGGTGATAATATTTGATAGTAATATAAAACACAAAGAAATTTACAAAAAAACAACATCCAGATTCTACAGGCTACAGTTAGCATGTTAAATTCTATATCAGCAAAAGGAGTGAAAAATGATTTTTAATGGACAGACTTTTTAGAAACATCACAGCAATACAATCTGGTTAATAAAGCTGCATCTGCATAAAAGCATTAGTCCTTAGGAAGAATCTCTTTTGGGTAGATGTACAAAATGACCTTTAGAGAATACTTGACAGCATGTTGGCAAATATAAGGAATGAAAATTATTATACACAGGATGGGAAGGAGATTTTGACTTGTTTTGCTGCCACAAAATCTGGACACCGTGCAGTTATTGAGTCAGCCGTGACCTCCTACATATACTAGAGTGTCCTTGAGTCAAATGTGCTGGCATCAGTTCGACAGCTAAAGCTCAATGTGGAATTATCAAAAATCATTTACCCTGAAAAGAGCAGGCATCCTATCAATCAGAATGCCTCCTGCTGCTTTTATCCGAAGTCTTTGGGTCCATGTCTTCACTTCCATTGTCCTATCATGTAACGTGCTGTTTACTTATACTATGCACGCAAATTCTAACAGGTTGTAGAATTTTTATTCAGTTTAAAAAAAAAAAAGTCAAACATTTTCAAAATGTTTTGCACCTTGCACCATAAAAAGACTTTCCTGAAATGCAAAACATTTCAACTGAGAAGTTTTCACGATTTACCAGTGCCTATTATCCATTACCTTATTAAAATCTCTGCAGGAAGAAATTCTTAAACAAGTATTCGTCATGTAACCGGAATCCATTTCATCTCTGGGCATGGTGTTTAATTTCAGAAGGATCTGAAGGAAAATAAGAAGACAGACTCCCTCAGCAGCTGCATATATGGATCTCTCTGACTTCAATCTGTCTCAGATTTATTCTCTTGTTGTATCCAATCCATCTTGTATTTGCAACCCCTCCTGGATTTGCCCTTTGTTGTTTTCATTTTCTCTTTCCTTCCCAATCTCCCGTTCCCAATAACTAATTTGCAGCCTTAATCTCCAGCTCATCTTTCTTGCTTTTTTTTTCTTTGAATTGAACATGCTCAGGCTTTGTTCAATAATTTTCCTCTCACTCCTTTAAGTAGGAAAATAATGGGGGGGAAAAAACAAAAAACTCAAGGTCACTTAGCAGGTAACAGATGGAGGCTTTAGGTTTGCAATCAATTTGAAATAAACTAAGAAGGTAACATGGAAAGAATAGTTGTGGTTGTTGACATGTTTGTTTTCTGATTATTTAAAACATCACAAAGATAAGTTGAATGACATAATGTACCAAGGTTGTACTTTGCAGATATAAGAAAGCCACAAACATTTTAATACAAACCCATTCCATAAACTTACAATCAGAAATTATATCCTCTCTTCAAGACATTATTGTCACATTAATTTGGGAGTTTTGCCGATTTATCTATCTATTTATCTATCTTAAATATTGGAGGAATAATTTAGAATTTGAGGGGCTTTTTTGTGTTTTTTCTAATCCAGTCCCAAAATTGTATATAACAGGCAAATTTGTTGGTATAAAACGGCTTCACAGAAGAAAACCAGCCAACAGATTTTTCTGTATTCTTTGCCAGTGTTCATGTATTTGGCCAATTAAGTCAATTCTTTTCCAACATGTCCATTATAAAACATCTAAAAGCTCTGATTTGTTTTATTCTTATTTTACATCTGTGAATACAAATCTAATCCATGTTTTTTACTCCATCCATCCATCTATCCTTCCCGTTCCTTCCAGCCAGGACTGGTTCTCAATCCAGGAGGGAATTTGAAACCCTTCCATGTGGACCCAGGCCCACTGATGACATAGATCTAGATATTTAATATTGACTTTATTTGGTAAACCTTGCTAGTACAAGCAACTTTCAAGGAAGCAATTTTGCTTTCAGAGCTGTGTCCATTCTTCATAAAATAAATGCATATGATCATGGAAAAATTCCTTAGAGAGTTTGGTCTAAACCGACATAAAACATCTTGTTCCCTCACATCCCAAAACCGCCCTGTGGTGGATGAGCTTGTATGCCGGATTTTGTCCTTTTGATTCAATGATCATAGGAAAATGCTGAGACATGGGGAGGGGAATAGGAAAAACAATTTTAACAGCATCTGCTACAGTGTTCTATATTTACTAGCTTCAGTTTCCTCAACATGTTGCTTCATTGTGTTGTTCAGCTCTTTGGAATCCATAAAAGCTAAATGTCAAACCTCTGTGAGCATTTCCTCTGTGCTGTTCTGTTGCGGAGAGGTCAGCCTGTTTTGTTCACCTGATCATTTCTGCATGCAAAACCTAAATGCCAAATTCACAACCTGCTGCTTTTTATCCATCCAACCTCTTTTCATAAGAGCATCACTTCTTTCCTTTGAGTAAATCGGATGAGACAGCCACCAGGTGGGATCTGTGGGCCTACGTTTTTAGCTCCTCTGATGATTTGTATCAAGCATTCACACTTCTGGCAGCTTATTGTGGGACCTTGAATATTTATAGGTGACATTTGTTCCGTGTATAAATGTTCATTCAAGCAAATGAGAGCAAT